TTAATATACTAATTTAATATTATATATACTAAATTTTTACTATTGTATATAGGGTATACAATTTCAAATATTTTATGGTATTAGATATTTAAATTTAAAAAAAAATGACTTATAAGTGAATAACTGTCAACTATTAATAAATTATATGATAAAATAATATATGATTTGTATTCAGAAAAATCAGTCTAATCTACTGTACGTATTGCCTATAGAAAAATAAACTATTGATTTTATATTAAATATATTATTAAATATTCTTAGAATTATAGACATGTAAGTCTCCGTTTTTCATCGTATTTATCGTTGACTTAATATTTATCACATCCATTATAGTGACTTATTTAATGATGAATTATACTTGAAATATACTATAAAGCATAGCCAGTTTCCCTGTTTATTAAATTTTCTTAGCATGACATTATACAAATTTCGAATGGTTGGTAAAATTGTATTTATAATCGAAAGCCGCTGTGAGTTTTAAAATTATTGTGAAAAATAATGTATTATATTATCCAATACACGATTTGAGCTGGTTCCGGTGAATGTCGGAAAAGAGAAAAAGTAATATATTATCAAAGTTTGTGTTCGTGAAAATAGAGACGTGGATCAAAATAGTTTCCGGAATAATTGTTAATGAAAACGATTTCTTTAGTTTGAAACAGCAAAATATATTCTACTCACGAACTCTGCGTCTCTGGCTTCATATAAAATATGTGTATAAGCGTTTTACAGATAGTTACTATTTGGTCCCTCCTATAAAGTTAATAATATGATACACGTATGCAATGTACAAATATTATATATATATATATATATATATATGTATATATATATTATATATATATTATGGGAACATGGCATCAATTAATTTTTGAAAGTATTTCGTCTTTTCCGAGGACTGCCATTTAGGATCCGTTTTACAATCATAGTTTAAACCTCGGTTATGCTTGAAACACTGATTTTACCGCCTGAATTCCGTGGTTTAACCGGAGTTCAACTATTGTAATACGGGGCCCTTAATGTTTTAAAATTACTCTAAAACTTAATTTTGTTACATTCCAGGTCGATCGTATAATTTTAGCATCTGATGATCAAAATTTGAAGTTAATCCACACGTTTACAAAAGTAAATAACACCTGTACATATTATGCATTCAACAATTACCTCTCAAACTCTTTATTTAATTTAAAAAAGGCATTTATGGCTCAATATTAATTTATATTTACTACACACTTACTGGTTAAATATATATTTTCATACACGGAGTATAATTTTAGAAATATTTAAAGCAAAAATTATTTGGATTTAAAAAAAATATGTAGGAAGGAGTAATCATTACAAATATTTATTTATTTCTATAAAAGTTTGGTCCAATTAAGCTAAAATATTTAGTATTTAATATTCGAGATCTAGTTTCTATTCTAATCTAACCAAATCCCTCTGGGCTTTCCTTACATTGTGAATGTGTGAGTTATAAGACGTTTAATATTAATTAATCATATTAYATTTATTGAAACGTCATAGAATAGCCCTAATAGGTAATAAGTTAACGCAACGATATCCGGTAAACGTTAATCGACATTAAATGTGTTCACCGTTGTTAAATATCTGACCGTTGGCTAATGTTATTTGCATAATATCT